ATACTACTACACATATATATATATATATATATATATATATTATTATATATATATATATATATATATATATTTCATAGAGTCGACTTCTATAAGTCTCACTCACCTCCTGGTACCGCGGATAGTTGCCCTTCACCAGTTTCAATTGCGGACACAGTTGCAGAGCGATGTATCCCGGCATAGCACTTCTCACCCCGTACTTGCGTGCCTCGTAATTACAGGTAGTCAGCATGCCTATACCCCCGACTGCCATAGGGATACCTTTGAGCGCAGGGTTGTCCAGTTCCTCAACACTGGCGAAGTATGCGTCCATGTCACAGTGTACGATGACCCGACTATGATTGTAGAGCGAGACGATGTACATACGCATATGTATAAGAATGTATTGTAGGGGGGCATGGGATAGCTAATAAATTGTATATGATTGTGTGTAAAGTATAATGATCTTTAAGTGCCTGCAAGTACTCAAAGCGAAGGCCATCCCTATTAGATAAAGACATGCAGGTTTCTCTAGACTGGCGTAGTATATATGCACGTTCACCTGACTCATAATACATACAAACCTTACACATATCAAAACATATCAAATGTATCACAATATCACACCGCACTGTCACTAGGTTTGCAACTATTTGACCCCTTACTAAAATTCTCTCTCTTCTCGGTATCTATTTTGTCGTTTACGATGTGTCATAGACCCATCTACACGTACTAACGTAGTGAGTGTGCATACGTCCATACCGCAATTTGAATCAACATACTTGATCTAAGATCATGGCACCCAATGTTCAACTTACTCCACAACTTTGGCGAAACTCAAAAAATAATGTACACACCTTAAATCACGTTCGTCTTCGAGTTTCAAAACTAAGTTTTCGATTGATTCCAGCAGTTTTTTCCGATGAAGCGTGCCGTCAGCTTTGTACCGTGCCAATTGTTGCACCATTTTCTGCACCTTGGCTTGTGTGGTTGCGTCTCGTTCTTCCTGATTATTGAAGAACCTCGAGCCCTGATTATGATGGCGATAGCAACCAAACGTACAGAAAGACAAGGACACAGGTGAGAGTGAAGATAAAATGCTTCTTCATAGCGCGTTCAGGGGCCGGGTAGTGGAGTAGTGTAACATGAAGAGATGCTCAGAAAATATGTGACTGTGAAAGATGTGATGCACTTTCGAGTAGCCCTGTATATGTGATACTGCAACTTGATGTATTGCTACATAGCTGGACATACATGACATAGAACACGTGCGCAAAATAACTCAAAACGTGGCATACGGCACACACTGAACGACGCCAAACCCTTTGGAAGAAGCACGTTGCACCATTAATACCCGCATATATATATTAGAAAGAACCCGGACAGTTACTACATACAATAAATCATATTTGAATACTATAGAACATACACGTTGACCCCCTTATATACTACAGAAATGTGGATAGGTAATGTTACTAGGGTTGCGCTGTTAATACCCGCATATATATATTAGAAATAAGAACGGACAGTTACCACATACAATAAATCATATTTGAATACTATAGAATAAAGTGTAACTTACACGTCGACCCCCTTATATACTACAGAAATGTGGATAGGTACTGTTACTAGGGGCGCTTGTAAAAGGACAAACTATAACACCTGGTTAAATTTGCAAAGACGAGTATGTTGCCATAAACGTAATAACCATTTTTATATATGTATGAGGCTACTAGTATGAACCCATATAAGTACAAATTGGAAATTAATACTACAACTGAGACGACAAACCTTCCAAAAATACTATTCCACACAAGAAAGGGCCCCGCAACACAGCCTAGACAACTTTTGAGTGGGCTCTACAGGTGTGTATCTATTTGTCAAAGGCACAATGCATATTTACGAAGAATACGAAGAACATTTGGACTACACTGCTTCTACCAATGTATTCTTGCGTGATCTCAAATTTTTGTGTATCCTTACACGTTATAATCTTCTATCCCCCCCCCCCCTTCCCCCCTCTTCAACGTACAGGAGCACGTAGTTATACAAACCACTTACAATTTTCGAGATTACCTACCTTCGACATCTCGTATATAGTCTTGTTGACTTTTTCCCTGTCCATCCCCTGCATGCCAGCCTTATTCGGATTCAAAGCCAACCGCCTCACCATGCTAGCTTTATCGCCCTCCTTCTGTCGATGCACTTGATCCTGCTTGTCTCGATGCGTAATTTCATCTCGCTGCACAGTGTCCACAATGACACCATCATCTGATGTCCCGTCCCTTCTCTGTTGGGATATCTCATCTCTGTGGGCACTTACAGTGTGTGTGCGCGTATCATTAGAGAATTTTTCTTCCACTGGGTGTGATACTGTAGCGCCTATATCGTTCCCACACTTGGGATTGTTAACACTCTCATGCTGATGCCGTTCCATCGACATACTTGACTATCAGGTTAGTACTGGACGTACGCACGTCACGTGTTTAGCTATCCTGTAGGCATGCTCAATACAGCCTTGCCCGAATTGCGTCTCGAGCATCAAATTCAGTATGTAATTGTACGGGATACACGTTCCTATGAACATAAGCTTAGTAAGATTCTCCTAATTGTATACCAAGTGATTATCTTCCTTCATATAAAAAAAAAATAACCTTCGCACACTGGACTGCATCCTTGTAGAACACACTCGCCATGTCGATGTGCAAGACTGACCTCTACACGACAAGTGTTAATAAATACATTGTTGAGAGAAATAGAATGAAGTACAACTCGCACTTTAGCAAGTCCAAAACATGAAATCATTAAACCCCGCCTTTTTGGGACCGCCAGATCTATTTCTGCCAATGGATTTGAAGTAGCTTTTTATCCACTCAAGGTATGTTTTGACTTTAGTAGGCTCTGAGCCTATGGTGGACAAATACATATTATATTATTTTAAAAAACAATAATTGAAAACAAAAAATCTGTTCATTGAAAAATAATTGAAATCATTGAATAATGGGTTATTTTTAAAGTAGTGCCAGACTGCCAGTGGCTATTTATTTACATATTTATTTCAAATATTTGGGGGCTCTTTCGATTGTTTTTGTCCAGAAAACGCAAAAGTTACTATGTATAATTTGTTTTTAAAAAATACACAAAAAACAAAAGATACATATTTACATAGTTGTGTTGTGTGAGTGTCTGATGTAAATAAATAGTGATGTTCATGTCAGACTGTCATTGATGTGTAAATAAAGTCTGTTTTTAAAACAACTGTAAGACTGTAAATTTTTGTTTTTGTTTAAAACAAAAAAGGAGTCCAGACTCAAGAGCCAAGATCACTCCACAATCTACAGTCTGACTGAGTGACTATCTGTCAGACGTCAGTCTGTCGCTCTACTCTGAAAACTCTACTCAAGAAACCTATGACATGTTGATGGCGAATCGCATGACAATTACATGCAGTATTTCTGAATAATTTCATATATCAAAAAATACTCTAGGAGCTATATTATCATAAAAAAATATTGGTTAAATTTTATTATTATTAAGTATCATTAAAAATTGCCTGGGACTCTGGGAGAGAAATGACAAATTCTCAAATTCTCAATATCTCATTTTTTTATAAATTATATTTCTTTGTGGAATGTCATTAATATTGAAACTTGATTCGTGATATTTTAAAATATTGCGATCCGTGGCATTATTTCATATTTGCCACGATGCGTCACCGGGGACTGGCAGCCTCGCAGCCCGGGTCCCCGGCAACCCCCTGCCGGCCTGTCCCAACTCCCAACTCCCACCTGTTTTTTTATTTAAACAATCGATGTAAAAAACAAGCTGCGTTTAAAAGGAGCAGAGTTGAAAAATTCAGTCCATCACTTCTATCCTTTCATTTACTAAGAAGTTTATTTAGGAGGAATCACATCAAAAAGTACAATGCAATTTCAGTCAACAGTATTAGCTGCTCTCGCAGCATATGTGACTGGCGCTGAACTATCAGCCACTCGAGGCGATTTCCAGCAAGTATTTGCCAATGCCGTAAATGGAGATACCATTACGTTAGAGGCAGGTGAATATGCCACCAGTGAACCCATTGTTTTAGACAAAAAGCTCATCATTAAGGGTGATGGAGCGCTATTTGTAGTATCAGATCTTGCTGCCCCGGTGTTCGCGTTCGGAAACATGGAGGGCTACAGTTCTACACTAAATGGATTGTCGGTTGGTACACCAGGAGCTGAAGCTTGCGATCTGGCCGAACCATACGCTCTTAGAGCGAATTTCAGTATCGAAATCACAGGCGCCACCGTTGCCAACAACAAGGTCAATCTACAAACCGACGTAGGAGTGTGGCATAACGAGCGCAAGTTGAATGACTTCTACTTTGCTGATTGTCACTACGCAGTAGATCATCCTGCGAAGATGTCTGGTGGTGTTTATAAATTATTAGGCAATTGTCGATCGCAATTAGATTTCAGCTTTGACTTCGATAAATTGGGTGGCGCTTCTGGATGTGGAGCCACAATCAAGGACTTCGCAACTTTCGCTTCATATCGTGCTCAGGTAGAGGCGCAATGGGAAGAGTACATACATGCAGTAGTGATGAGGATGACCTACGTCTAGCAGTCACTCATGAGGGTAACGCAGTGACCAACCTACTGATACAAATTGACACAGTCCGCAATGTAGCAGCTACTATAAATGCTAAATACAAATCCGCCGATATCGGAGCTGCTATCAATTTAGTGGATGTTGGTTTCTTCGATGGTTGGAATCACTCCAAAATTCGCCTGGAGATTCACTTACCCGCTCCATTCACTATAATCAATACCGAAGGAGTTGTTGGTCGAGTGGAGGAAAGTTCTGAGTCTGAAGTGAGCGCGCTCTCGTCATATATTGTAGACGCGTCCTGCAACGAACAGGCTATCGGGGATGGTTGTATACAAAATGTCGTTTTTGATATTATCGCCTGCGACTTAATTGGCGAGTATTCTTTAGATAAGCTCATGATTGCATGTCAAGAGACAGACGAGAATGATAATCCCGCTAAGTGTCCCAACATAGATTCAGCTCCCGCCACAGTGCAATTTTTCATTGACACCAATAGTTTCTGCGAAGTGGAGGAGTTCGAGTTAGATGCTCTCTTCGACTTATCCATTGAAGTCTACGATTCCGAGGCCTATGATAGTCCTGAAACCGTCTTTGACCTTGGATCTATGTCATACCGGCAGATCACTATCGATACTTCTGCCAGTGGAGTGTCTCTATACAATGCCGAGGTCATCTATGTAAAGCGGACTACTGACGGTGATTGCTCCTCATTTGAAGGCTATCTTGGTGATGTTTCCGACGGCAACCCCGATTTCACACAGACCTACGATCCGGCTGCACAGACTATCTCCATGCCTCACCAAGTTAGAGCTCAGATGGCGTGTGCTACATCAGACCGCACCGGCAATGCGATCACTATGAACTACACAGTGCTAGATGATTATGATGATGGTTCCGCACGTCGTAGTCGTTCTCTCGACGGCATGACAAGCGTGATGCGGGCGAGGTTGCGGTAGATAAGGAGGCTGGTGTGCGCTTCGCGGCCGCAGATTTAATTCAAGCTGCCTACGAGGAGGAAGAGAACATGATGGTTATCGCTGGAGCTATCGCCACATTACTTATGCTGTGTTGCTGCGGCTGTTGCTTTGTTGTGGTCACCGCCCTGGTCATGCGTAGGCGTTCGGCAAGTAAAACCAAGGAGAGCAGTATCATCTCCCAACAGTCCGCGATGGGCTTCTCCGATGACGCGTCCACTATGAGTTTCAGCGCTGGAGCGGATAGAGTTTAAATTTTAGCCTACTTGTTTTTTTTAGAATACATATAAATATATTCAAATAAAAGCGAGTTTGACACTCGCTGTACACATCAAATGTATACATAATTGTTTGACACCACTGTCGCTCTCGAATAAAGTCTTTTTAAAATCAACATACGTTATTCTTATGAGAACACAATTTGCTACTTGTAACATCATTCGCATGTGCCAGTATGATTAATTTTTAAACATAAGCAACAGCAGATGATACAACTGTCTCACTAAAGATCAATACATGCCTATGTACTAGTTAAAGGACATGAATTTCTCTCGTTTAGGCCGACCTAACAATTGTACAGATACCGAACTCTACCCATCAATTAAAATAGGATTTGCGACAGGTGGAATCATATATATTTTAATAGTGTTTATGTAGTATTGCGCTAAAATCAAATGAGGGAATTTTTCAACTACGATAAGTTCCTTTATAGCGACGAGTTATCTCTAGTATACTGTGCTACCATTCATGGTCATCAGATTGCATTGTGTGATCTACAGATCTGCCATATAGAATTAAGTTTCAGTGAAACACGAAAATAATTGTTCTGAAACTGATTCATGCAACTATTCACGCATTCGCAACAAGCAGAATATACTCACAATGGTCCGCCCCGTAGTGCAAACTACCACAAAAATATGGCAGTGTTCTATTTTCTCGCATATGTTAACGCAAGAAGATCAACGCACAGCAGAATGTTTAGAAACTTGGGTTCAATTGGCCTTATTTCTTTACAATCCTAAATATATATCAAATGATATACATATATTGCATATTCGCCTCGTAGAATAGTCCCAAAAATCTCGTGTTTCCAGTCGCAAACTCAAATTATCTACACAGCATATTGTGATGGATATCGACGTTTGATATGTTCACATGTTTGTTTATGCACCTACAACCTGATATCGTCATCTACAAATCAGAAGCTCAGATGGAAATCACATTTCCGGATTTGTTCGCCATATCGAAGACCACGTCATCATTAGAGATGGAAAACCCGGAGAGAGTAGAATCTTTTTGTGTGACAAATAATAATAATAAAAACAATGGAGACAAATGAGATGAAGAGAACCCAGTTGAATCATAGATTCCATTGTGCGAGCACTAATTTGACCTTAAATTGAAATCGACAACTAATAGGGCCGAATAGAGATTAAATGACAAGGCTAGATGAGCGCGAGTGCAGACTCTATGCAAGCTTAATCTCGTTCGTTCATTTTAGGGTTCGCGAAACAACTCACTGAAATGTGCACGGTAATTGAAACATGGGATGACACTTCCTATTTGGACATATGCTTCAAATTAATACTGGGTAGCAAACATATGTGCAAGCCTAGACCCACACATTTGTTCTTAAGCCTTACCAGTGGCTACAGATCGGCTGCGATCATCACCCCATAGTTCACCACTGGTCGCAGTGTCTTGGACATTCGCAGCGAACGAGCGTGTATCTGCAGCTCCACTCTTCTTATAGGGCTGTATTCAGTATCAAAATTTCAGACATAAGCATTGCATTGTTATGTATCAGTGTTGCAGGTCTTGAAAATATAGTGTATTCACATCAGGTACAGGTGTTAGAACCACATTCTATGCATTTTGACAATACTACAAAAATGGCGTTTGTCGCTCTTGTAGTACGAAGATAGTGTAAACCACGCGCGTCAAAAGACACTGCACCGAGCACCTCAGACTATTCGTTTGCGTGCACATACACTTTCAGTTCCTAAAGACCTGGGCACAATAGCGCTCTTCACATACACCAGACCATCTCCAAAAACTTATCCACACCATGCACCATAAATTTATTATTGCTTAAACTTATCTGTACACATATATAATATACACGCACAGTGCAAGCTTCACATACCCTCTTCATCTTGCTGTCGTTTCTGCGTCGCATATACACCAGCATACCAACCATGAGCGACAGTGCCACAGTAGCGGCTGCCCCTACAATAACGGCCACTGTAGTCTTGTGATTGATGTCGTCTTGCTGATCTTTGATTGCTTGCTGCATGGCAATATTTCGGGTAGCAAAATGTGTGAGAAAATACGAACACGTTGTGTGGAAATTAGGCGGTTAGCAGGTCGCTCTCGGTTGATTACTGCTTGGTATCATTTAGGGCCGTGCAAGGTTCAATAACGTAGACTTCTGTTGCGGAAGGTGTGTGGCTGCTCTAGCAAATCAGTGTACAACAGTCCCTGTAGTGGTTTTTACCAGCAGACAGCTACTATGAACCTTGTGCCTCTCTCGGCGAATGACATATGTGTCCTTTTTATTATACACACACACACACACATATATATATATATATATATATATATATGTGTGTGTATGTGTCAGGTATGTATCATGTATGTGCGATTTTTGTTTGATATATATCTATATATCATATTTATAATGCAAGAACTTACATCGATCTCAGCGGTCTCCTCTTCTTTCTGCGCACTCGTGGATGATGCACTCACAGCCGTTTCTTCATCATCCTTGTCATCTGTCCGAATTAGATCCGATACATTTGAGTACATATGCACAGTGTATGAAGCACGATACATTATCGATTGCAGTCAAATTTGAAATCCGACCTACCATCATCGTCGGAGCCATTCTCCTCGGCGTCTTGTTCGGCTTGGTCCAGTGCGTTGGCATAGGCCTCCTTTTTGTCTTCTTCCACTTGCTCGACCATTTCATCGTTCGTTTGTTTGTCCGCGAGGATGGCTGTGGTATAATAAAAGAATAGTCAGCTTCATAACAGTATACATATGTCGATTGTCCATACTAAGTTTCAAAATCAGATGCAGTATATGCACAAGTGCAAATATGTATTTAGTACGCATATATATCTAAACTATATGGATATAAATATTCGAATCAATTTTGTTTATACAGACGCATACGTGTAGATAGTCATACGTGTATATCGGTAAATATTTGTATGTACAACTGCATATACTCGCGGAAGGATATGTTCAGTATTCAAATGCCTGTATCAAATTCTCCATTCATGCAAGGTCTGCAAAAATGTTTGAGTGTTCTTGCTATTGTAATATGTGATACTTGCACGTATAAAACGCAAAACAGATTTGCACATTCATAACTGTGAACAATCCAGCTTAATGAGGTATAACGATGAGAATGCCCAGTTGTTGCATGTAGTAACCCTGATCAACGAACGAGAACACTACAATCATCTATACCGCTCTTGTACCGCGCGAACAAGCACACGCCCACAAGCAATCGTAGTACAGACCTACGAATGCAGTGCACACAGGTTGGTGGTGTATGTTCATCGCCTACTGTCTCCCGTTTTGTACAAATATTCTTATATCGCTGACTTATGGGAATACATCCAAACACGTACATATACACAAAAAAATGCTTTTTTTTTGCGCATATCATTGAAAAATATATTAACACGTATATATGTACACGTGCACCAACAAAGCAAATACTTATACATGTATCATTGAAAAGTGAATAAGCACGTGCATATCACACGTGCGCCAGCAAAACATATTCTATTTGCACGCATCATTGACAAATAATAAACACGTGCATATACACACGTGTACAAGCAAAATACAAACCATTTGGATTAAACAGCTCAGCCCCATGAACATCCGAGCCATCGCTATTGCCCTCCACCTGTTGTTTATTGTACTGTGCGAGTTCCCATTGCTCATCCTCTGCATCGGCCAATTCTTCCCACGCAAAGTCATGCTGTCCTGGGCCTATGTGAGACAGGCATGAGGCAGTGTGATTGGCGTTAAATACAGCTCAATGAAGAAAAAACCCAGACATTGTTAGAGGTAGCAATAAGCTTAGCAAGCTTCTCCCTCACTCTGCATATATATATATATATATAAATATATGTATGTATATATGTATATGTATATGTACATATATATACATATACATATACAATTTCATATAGATACACATATATACTCAATATCTATGATAAATATATATGTATAATCAATATACATAGCATTCATATATGTTCTTGGATGATTCAGGGCGAGAGGCGGCTCAAGACTACGAAGCATACTTGAAGATCAACATGTCAATAGCCCGACCCCTTTATACCAAATGTAAAGCAGGCGCTTTAAAAATTTAACCATATTGTATTTACAACCCCACACATAAAGTCCAATTTATAACATCCTGAATCTCTGTGCCTCTCATCATACTCTGTACCCCAAATTATCGATCTGGAACGTAAACACTATGTAACATCCTGTGTGAAAGTGGACAATGGCAGAACTTGATTATGTCAACATCACCTTACACCATAATGTCGCAGTATCTCCACATAACACTGTTGTTAGCTTCCGATGCACTATAGAGCACATGATCGTCTCTCCCTCCAAACAAAATACAACTTGTATGTTCACCCAATCACAACTTACAGAGATAAACACGGTTCTCAGAAGAACCTTATTTCTTAAAGACTTACGTTGAATTACAACTTTGCCCCAGCACCATTTCTGGGCCTGATTTTTTGCGTCCGCCGCATCGTAGGCTACGGTGGCGAGCATATCCACTAGATCGTCATAGTTATCTGTGCCGGATTAAAATGTATTAGGAACGGTTTGTCTGAGCACGAGGTTTTATATGCGTCATAGGATCGTGGGTTAGGATGGCAATGCGATTCTATACTTTTTTAACAAGAGAATGGGCTAATATACTGACGATGGCTATACTATTGAGGCAAGTCAAAGATTGCTGTGTCCTGATAGGAATTGCATATTTACTTGATCAATCTAAGTGTATGTACGCTTCTAGTCGAATACCATTCTGATTTATTCTGTCGATCGTATACACGCGCCAGGGTTTGTCATCATTGATAACATATGGTGTGTCTATTTGCACAACATTTGTAGCAGCACTGATATTGTTCAACACGCACGAGTATTTCCTAGATACATATACTCAAATTACATAAGCATTAAAACTGCAGAACTCAACACCTACTCTCATCGCTTGTACCATTCATTGCGTATTCATTGCGTATCTGCATCATACTGGGATCTAATCTATCGAGCACTGCTTTTACACGGGGTTATGCAAGAGCTAAACATTCATATTGTAGAGCACAAGATGGGCATTCTGTTCAAGACCAATTTATATGACGGCAATACACACGTCTGTAAGTTATATTGTTGTATTGTAGATTTGTCGCAGTTGTTACTATCAAGCAGTTATCGTATCAGCGAAGAAATAGACTCTTGAAATGCATTGACACTTGTGCTCGGGTTTAGTGGAGTGAGCTGATTGATATTCTCCTCACCCAAATGTACGTACACTTGCGCCGTGTATATATGTATTTGTATCATAAGGAGCAATACTACGACATATTCAATTCTGTATGGATTAGTTGAAGTAATGGAGAAAGTTTAAGGCCAATTTCAATCAAACCACAATCACGTGTTTACGATAAAATGCGTAGTTCAAACATGTGCGAGCATACATACTTACGAAAACACAAACTTTTGAATAGAAAAGTATAAAACTAGGCTAGAAGGCACAAACCTATCCAGATATATATATACGTACACACGTATATATATATATATAGTTTGTATATATATATATATATAAATATATACAGATGATACACACACATATATATATTTATGTATTTGAGACATATACGTTCATATATATGTATATAGACAACTATATGCACGTATGTATGTACATGATAAATTAGACACACCCACACATATATATATATATGTAAATATGTACATATATACATGTAAATATGTACATATATATATATAGGTACAGACACACACACACATATATATATATATGTATCTGAATATATATATATAATTTTTATTTTTTTATACATATACATATTTACTTATATATATATACATACATCTATACATATAAATACAAATATCAATACATATTTATACATATAAATATGCAAATATAAAAATATATGTAAATATAAATATAAATATATGTGTGTGTGCGCGTGTACGTATACGCAGGTAAAACCTATTTGAGTTTTTTCTATACATTTTAATATAAAAGAATGAATTAGTGATTTAATTTAAACTTTATCTGGTGGAAAGTCTGTGCAGAGACTATCATAAGCATATATAAATGCATCGAAGCGACTTTGTGGAATACTTTCAAGTAGCTTGTATATTAGTTTATACTGTTTAGCACACATGCATTGGCCCCGCCTGCTGGTTATTCAAGTAGTTAATAAATGTTTACAACTTTGATACTTGAAATATAAGTCTTACAGTATATTGATCTCTCAAATTGCCCTTTCATTCTATTATATGCACACACTGATACGTTCTACAGTCGTATGTCCAACGCGCATTGCCTGGGCAGTTTCGTTCAGACTAACTTTGTTCGTGGGCGTTTGGACGCCAAACAATAACCACTCAGTAAATGCATCACGTCGCAGAAGATCTATAAATATATGTATATATATATATGTTGAACACTTACAGGAAAATCCTCATACCCCTTGTCGGAATCTATCAATGTATTCAGACCGTGTGCACCAAAGTTTCGTATCATATATTTTATATACTTAAGTTTCCACACCGATTCACGTACATAAAAATTATGGTTATATCATCAACATACCTGTTGTTATGTCATTTGCAGCATCCTTCAGCTTTTTTGGTACACCTACGGATACCCGACATCCCGCGTCTCTCCAGATTCCCAGCAGACAGTCTGGAGACCATCTGTTATTCGTAGAGTCATAGCTTGTCAGACACACCATACGCGTCATCCCAGGCATTTGGCGTCGCTTCTTATGTTTTTTAAACGCATCTATAGTAGCAATATCCCTCTTTTCTACAAGTGCATTTCTGCCAGGAGCAGTGTTGTGGCTGTTCTGTGTCTGTTTCTGAGTTACTACTTGTCCGTGTGTGGTGGTGTGTGGTTTGGCGTCCACCGAGTTCGCACTCAGCGATACCAGGGCCAGCGTGACGAGAATCTTCCCTAACATCGTATGCAATATACTAACGAAGTCAACGAGTGCTATAATGCCTAAGTGTTGCTCATCTATATTGGAAAGCAGTTAGTAGTAGAGGTTAGGAGACTAGGAGTCTATACAGGTGTATTTAAATAACAGACACTGACTCACAGTCACAGTCACAGACTCTATACTACAAAGACATTTCTTGAATGAAAATTATCATGACGCATACTTTTAGAAGAATCTTTGCCAAAGGTTACTCTAGTACTCATTGTCTTATATATTATTGGTTGGTAGGCTAGTTTCTTTTTGTTGCGCTGACAACGTGAGTATCGTCTATTTTTATAATCATCTTCAAAACTTCCGAGTCTCCGAGTTCCGAAATCCGACCGAAGAACGAAGGGCGCCGAAGGCCGAAGGGTAATCAGTAATCACTAAGTCAGAGAAGAAGGATTTTGAAAGCTGTATAATAATGCAGCTGGGCCTGGCTGCCCTGGCAGCGTGTTTTACATCTATGATGAATCGATGATATTTGTAGGAAGCTAATAGGTTATTTTACATACTTTTTAATATTTACATATTTAGAAATTCGGAGCGCTGTCGTTGTACAGAAAAGAATTTTATATGATTATAGCGGGCACAACCTTTTGTAGGAAACTGTCTTCAACGAACTCGCAGATACAAATCCAGACTAGGCCCATCTATCCACGGATCATATTCCTACAAATAAGTATGCCAAGAATCTTCAGTGAGTGTTCAATAGTGGTGCTGTGACTTTATCGGATAATCGTGTAAAATGGAGGTAGAGGCGGGTTGCACGGCATACGCGTAGATATCTGTATATAGGTATACCCTAAAGTAATAGCAGAATTTTTTTATTTAATATATTCATGAAATTTTATTGGACAAAAATTCGCGTGTACAGCTGCGCAAAGCCTTACATACTATATTTCATATTTGCAACATTCAAACTCGCTAAAGCTACTTGCTTTAATTCAAGGACTTGAGATCTTCTCACAAGGCATCTATCAAGGAATTGCACGCACACACAGAGCGTCAAATGCCGGTGCGAATAGCAAGGATATTTCTTGATATATAAATCATCTTCAAGTGTTCTAAACTGTATACTTGGTGAAACCAAGCATATAATAGTTGCAAAAGTATTAGGTATACCATGACTGCTTGTTCAATCTGTCACCAGTGCTTCTTTTTTCGTGCGCGTGATACCGCGTGCATGACGATTATTTGCACATGGCTAATATCTTGTAAACGTTCGGTTGCTCCTGATGATCTAAATAGTACAATTGTCCGTGGTTGATTTCTTCTAACCAACATGAAGTTTATTTACAATCTTCTATCATCGCAAATTTATTTTCGTTTTTTTTGTTGATATGTCACACACATGTATTTATCAGTACGGTACTACGGGGTTGGATATCCCAACTTGGTTCTTGTTGCCAGAACTTGCTCTTTCGCATGAAGTTTTGGGTGATAAATAAATACTAATTCTTCTCGCGTGGATCGGCAAACTGCGTATAAGCATTGAATCGCTCTAGTAAAAATATAATTAACTGTTCGATTGAATAATATAGTGCTCGTTCGAATAGTCCTGGTCACACACTAAACTGCACTATGTCTACTACTCGAAGCTACTAATTTCAACTCTGTGCCTAGCGGAGCTTCCCCCAGAACCAGCACACTTGTTTACATCCTATAATAGAAGCACCTTTCCAGATCAATTCGATTACACCGGTCGCAATTATATCCATACGAACAATAGTATTTATTGTTTGTTGCTAACAAACGCTCCTGTGAGCTTCTCGGATGTTTGCCACAACTTTTCTCTCAGAGCTTTATCATTCATCCAATCTTCGTGAGCAGTTTTCTCCACGTTGCAGTCTGAGAAGTATTCTCCAGAATTGTCCAGCGCCTTAGGGCTAACAGCACAGAAAACAGATGTGGCGGCACCTGTAGTAACAACATGTGCTAATACTTAACAACACAAAATTTGTATAGAAATGAAAATGTACACAAAACGAATGTGACATTTACAATTGTGCGTGTTGATTGTTTGCAGAAGAAAGATAAAAGTGTTTCTCGTGTACACATAATCGACCCAAGTCCCAAAATATATTGCCTACGCCACAGCACAGATTGTATTGCATACAGGTACATGTGTACGTGTTTGTAATTCAATGTGTTTTCTAAGTGACCATGTGAGTCTGTATGCATTCGATCCCTGTATGAGAATACAATACTTCATATATGTATACACGAATAGAGATTTACAGCATCATAATTTATCTGCACATGAGCGGACACCAACAAACCTTGATCCTTGTTTTTGAAAAAGAAAGGCGTCACAATGGCCCAGAATATCTTGGTACCGATGCGCACATGCGATTGTAGATTGGTGTGAATGCCTCCGGGATGTAGAGAGAAGGCTCTGATACCGTCTCGATGGTATTTCTCATCGATTTCCTTTGCGAATAGCACATTCGACATCTTTGCAATGCCGTACACTTCCCTGATATATCGCACGTTTGCCAGAGAGATTTTGGAAAAGGTGAATTTTTCTTTTCTTTTCAATACATGTAATAAGTATACTGGACCTACTGAAGATTGAACCCTACTTAGTGATTGTGATACAATACTTCAATGTAGAAACGAACAATATTTGAAAACTTACGTATCCAGATAGTCAGCATATGCACATACCATGGCTCATACTCGGCGATTTCTAACTTTGAATGGAAAATCCAATCGGTATTCTTAGCACCACGATGCCCCATAGACGACACCGCCACAACACGTGAATGCCCAGGAGCTTTCTTCAACAACCCGATTATATTTTGGAATAGGGTGAAGTGGCCCAGGTGGCATACACCAATCTGTGCCTCGAATCCTTGAGCCTGTGAATGTGCATATGGAAATACCAAATGGAAATACCAAATGAGAGAATGGTATTGGTAAAAGACTTTTATCGACAGCCGTAATAGATTCTTGACGTTCCGTTATATTTAAAGCCATTTAAGGATACAAATCGCATCCTCAATCCCAGTTTGTGGGTGTATGACGATTTGTCAAACAAGTGCTCATCCATACCTGAGCGTTTTACACAAGCCATGCCAAAACTATCTGTACAGTCTCAAAGCATAAAGGGAGCTTAATACTGCACGCGATACAAATTCCAATGTACACATGGTATATCCATTACAATGGACACCTTATGCCTGAGATTTGAAATGACATAGTAAATCCATCTACACCCATCTCCGAGGTTCAGGGGAAGTGCCATGATACCCACATCACGCACCAGAAATACTAAAATACATACACCGTCATATATATATATATATATATATATATATATATACTACTATATATATATATCT